GACTACAGAAAAGCATGCAATAAACCACAGTCTGAAGTGACCAGAAAACTAAACATCCCTGACAATACTTAAAACGTGAGGCAGGTGTCAGTAAATTATTCATTTAAGTATTTCTAGAACCTCTCAAAATCTCAACCCCAAAATATCTCAAATCAGAGTTTCTAATCTAAAACAAAGCAATATTTAAAGGTACTTACCAGTATTGAGTACTGCATTTTAGTTCTTTTAGTAACTACCAAAGAGAATGTGTTTCATTTGAACAGATTTATGAAGCTCTACCAAATCAATAAAAAATAAAGATAATACTGATCATTATTTTTCAAATAACATTAAAGTATATTGAGAAATACTCCAAATAATACTTTAAATCTTTCAAATGGAAGAAAAAAGACAACAGTTTCACAGCAAAAAGCACGTTTACAACTGTACAGAGAAGCGAGATAACAGAAAAAAACAGATGTGATTCAATCACAATCAACTTAAAACTAAATATATAAACAAAATCTTAAACTAAGAATGATGAAAGGTGAGAAAAGCGACAAAATGATAAAGAAAATAAGAACTCTCTCAGTACACATACTAAATTTAAAAGATCATGTCAAGGTTACAAGGTACATACCAAGCAAATGAAGCTGTTTATGACTGGAATTCTGCACCAGTTAATCCTTATGAGAAACGGAGGTTGAGAAAAATCGAATATGTATTCTAAAGACAAAAAGCAAAGAGAGTCCCACCAACTTTTCCCTGAGAAAAGAAAGTATCCTAAAGGTATGCCCAGAATTGCAATATATCTGCCCCTTCTGAAGTTTACAATGGCACATTACCACAAAAGGTGGGCACTCTTTCCGCTCTTACAACAATTTGCTCCTATAAACTTAGGAAGGGGCAGAGCCACAGCCATAAACACAGGTCACAAGTAGTAGGTAGTCAAATGCTATCTTCAAATGCTTCCCAGCTCTTTACTCATTAAAAAAAAAAAGCTTATTCTTTTTTTTTTCTCCTTGGTTAAATAAGGAATTCATCTAGCTTAGGGAGATGAGTATGAAATTAAATGGAACAGCACCATCATATAAACTGCTTAAAGGATTCTCAAATATTTCACTTTTCACACAAGATATCCTCATTTTTTACGTCAAAACCTTTCCACCACATGCCCAAAAAATGAAAGTAGGGGAAGGTTTAGGGATATACATTTAGTAGAAACCATTTAGCATAAAAATCACTCCTATTATTATTTCCAAGGTGGCCAAGGCTTACTTAGACAACATAAAGACAAAATAAGCAAAAATGCCTTACTCATAAAAAGCACAGAATATATATATGCACACTCCAAATATTGGATGGTTTCTAAAAATTTTTTTTTAAGTTATCCGGCTTTAAGAACCATCACCTCTGTTATCTTTTTAAAAATGAGATGCTATCACTATAGTAAAGGCATTTCTATACCTTGAGTAACCAAAGCCCAAACTAGTTAGAGCCTTGGAACACTTACCACTAAATTACACCAACCCATTCTAACATAAGATAAACAGCAGTGGTTTCTTTCAACCATTTCCCTAAGACAAAAGGATCACAAATATTAAGACCCCAACCCAGGGAAGGGTGAACTTTTTCTTTCAAAATCATCAACATCAGCCATTTTCAAAATTTCCAGGTTTTTGGTTCCTGAAATTAACTACCGCTTCAAATCCTAAGATATTATGTAGTAATTTTCAGACATCAATAATGTTCTTAAAATTCTTAGGGCTGCTTGATTTGCTCACTCCAAGCTACAAAACATCTCCTGGCAATGCCAGACCTATATTCACAACCACAGCCTCACAGCTCTAACACTGATGGCTGGCAGAGCTCACTTTGTTCATATCTTGTGTATCCTAAAAACCAGGAATATGACTATGAGGAGACAATGAAACTCCCAGAGAGGTGAACTAAAAGAGAAAATGACCTCAGATTTCCATTCACAGCTGGAACCAGAACAGAGCTGGGCATAAAGGGGAAAAGGGGAGCGGACAGGGTAACCTGGCAAAAAAAAAAAGACTAGAGGCAACTAATAAATAGCAGAGGATCCCTTGCATCCTCCAGTGTTCCAGTTACTAAAGTTACAACAATCATTTCTATTAACCCAAAGAGAGGGACAATAAAATATTCAAGTGAAATTTTCCTCCTCCTCCCTCTGCCCCCACCCCACCAAGAGCACAAACTAAAATTGGGATTTGGATTTTCCTTAAATGGAACAAGGGGCTACATCATTTTCATTCAAAAGACTTGGTATTTACTCAGCCTTTTCAAGGCACTTCACTATCATCAATTATTTCTCGGTGAGGCAGCGCAGGATTACCCTGACCATTTCACTGATGCGGAAGCAGACACCAACAGCAAAGGGAACGGGGGCAGGAAGAGGGGAGATAGGAAGCATCTGGGGGGAACAGGCAGGCAGCTAAAAAGGAACAAACCCAAAAGAAAATGAGAGTCACATCTGGCTTATTTAGCTCAGAGATTTTTGAAAGATTTTGAAAAAATAAAGTGCTCTAAATTATGAGTCAGTTAATATTTAGTTACAAACTAAACTACTTACTTGGTCATAGAAGCAAAGTTGTTTAGCATTAAAAAAAAACCCTCAATCTCCAGAGCACATAGAGATTTCAATTTATACCAATAATTCATTTTTCTTCCCAAGCCTAATCCATATGTTTATCTCTCTGACCTAGAAAATAATCTCATAAAAATGTACAGCTTTCAACCCAAGTAAGAAATAATTCACAGTTACACCCAGAATTTTATTTAGAAAATTTATAAACAAAATACCGATTCCCTGAATTTGCCCTTGAAATAAAATAACTACTTGTTTTACATTCATATTGATTTTCTTAGCTATAACTTGGAAATTTTCAGGAATAAATTACTGATGGGCAGCCTTAAACATCCAGAAGCCAACATTCACAGCCTCTGAATAAATGCACCTTGAACTCCATACTACAGACAGCACAGGCACTTCAAAAAGATGTATTGATTGAAAGAAAAAGACTGACCAGTTGCCTCATGAGAAAAACTGATACCACCTCTTTAAGACTGACTCCAATGATTTTTGTAAATATCATGACATCATTAGCTTTAAAGCAACCTCACACATAATGTAGTTCAGTTACATTAATCTTTTTTTCCAAACAATTTCAAAACAAATCAGGTTCTCTAAAGGAAACAGGTACACACCCTTAAGCTTATAAGGTTGTGTGATATATATGCTATTCATTCAAGAGTTTCAAAGCTGTTTTAAATGTGTTTAAGTTTTTGAAAAGATCTTTCAGACTGTTTTGAAGACTATGGATAAAACTATAGCCAAACAAATACAAAGCATCAGGTGAGTGCTCATAAATTCACTCCTTTCTCAAAGTCCCAACTGGACTTTTTTCCAAAAGCTTATTTTCACCTTCCTCCCATTAAATATACAAAACCAAAGACTGAAAAAAAAATTCATCCCTGGAAATACGTTATTTAATGAGTACTTAAGAAAAAGAATGGCAAGAAAGGCAAAATAGTGATTACTGAAGAACATTCCCAAGCACTGCTTTTGAAAAGAATCAAATGAATCTATGAACTATTGTTATAATGCAATTGCCTGTCACAGGAAGTTGTATTCCATAAATGATATACATCTTATAATACCGTTTCCCCAAAACAGAAACATGAATAGCTCTGGGAGCCTTAAAAATGCAGCAGCATCCGCAGTTGTTTTGGTAAAGAAAACTATCCCTGATAATTTCATAAATCATATGATCAAAGTATCCACTTTCCCTGCCTTACCTTCCCCCTACTAACAGATCCACTCAGTTTCCAGAGATATCCTAAAGTCACCTTAACACATAATTGATAAAAGCTAATCTAAATCTTCAAGATAAAAGCTAATTTCAAATTATAATCACACTTTGTAATGAATGACAAATGTTTTACAACCCTTAAAAACATCAATAGTCTTAAACGGGGATTTGTAACTACCGGTGCTGGCCAAACGTTTGGGGGCCGGAGAAGGGGGCAAATTACAGACCTCAAAGCTATGTATAACATCAAGGCGCAAAATCCATTAAATTCGCCTGCTCGCTCTCTGGCGATTTGGCGATTTACACCAGGATGCAGCACAACCACTAGTCAGGTGGAAAAAGCAAGACCGCTGTCCCTTAAAGGCACCAATGGTCCCTAGACCAGGTCACGCCGCGAGAGCACAGCGGCCGCCCTGCAGCTCCTCGGGAGAGTTGGAGCCCCCCTCTCCGCCCCCCCCAACACACACACGCAAGGAGGGCCGCGCCCTCCCGCCCCACCTCTACCCGGCGGCCGAGCCACCGGTGCCCCCCTCCCCAACCGCCCAGAGCCCCGGGGCGCGTGTCCGATGGGCACCTGGCACCGGGACCGAGCCCGCGCTCCGCCACAGGCGCATCCTTCCGGGCTAACGTTTCCCTCCCAAACTCCAAAAGTTATCTCACAACTCCCCGGAAGGCAACCGGGCGGGCTTCAGCCCAGACCACTCAAAGTCATCGCTGCTCCTCAGCCCCACCGCCCGCCGGCGCGCCCCGGGGCCCCAGCTCGGTCCCCCAGCCCAGCTCCACCCACAGCAAGAGGATGCTCAGGAGGGTGCTGTCCGTACTTTGGGCCAGGGGGCGGCTAGAGAGCGACACGGCAACCAAACGCCGCGCAAGGGATGGGCCCGTGACCAGCGACGGGGCCCCGGGGGAATGCGAGGGGCTGCGCAAAAGCAGCTGTGGGGCGTCGTGGAGGGCGCTAGGTGGGGCAGGGGAGCCCTGGCCTCTGGGGTGAGGCTGCCAAAGGTGGGCGACGGGGGTGCGGGGCCGAGCTAAGGCCGGACCCCGCGGAGCGGTAAGGGGGCGTTACTCGCGCGGGACGCGCCGCGGAGGGCTCCCAGCCACCCGCCCGCCCTCGGACAACGACCAGAGACCGGATGCCACGGCTCCGCCTCTCTGCTCCTCACGGGGCCCAGAGTCGCCACGCACCTCGGGTCTCGTCGGCGAAAGGAGCGAAATTGTCACACTGGTCCCGCGAGCCGGTACCGGTCTTCACACCGCCGCCGCCATGTTTGAGAAGCCGCGCGCGGAGACGCGCATGCCCCGCAACCGCCACCACCGCCCCGCCCCCGCCCCGGCTGGCCCGCGTGCCCTGCGGTTGCCGCAAGCACGCCCTATGACCGCTGCCGCGTGCGGGGCCCGAGCTGGGGGCGCCGCCGGAAGGCAGTGTGAGCGGCGGCGGGCGACGAGACGCTACAAGCCCAGGAAAGCCCTTGGTAGTTTTCCTCCATCCTCCCCCCCACCATCTACCCTCCCGCCAAAAAGAAGCCAGTCGCAGCCCAAGCACCCAAGACTGTGATGGGCCCCCAACTGAGACCCCGGGGTCCGCGTCAAGTTCCATTGCGGGAACTCGCTCCCCTTGGCCATCGCCTTTGACTCTTCGGTCACGCCACCGAAAAGGCAGGCGCTTCCCTAGGAACTGAAGCAAGTTCGATGAGCAAGGAAAATGCAACTCTTTAGAGCAGCTTGAGCAAAGCCACTCCTTCGCGGGTTGCAGCATATTCCTTGAAATGTTTTTGTTTTTTTTTTCCATGGGTTTTTGCCACGCATTCCCCTCCAGCTCCACATTCTGAACTTAGTTGTTCCTCTAAACCCAGGCTTGAGCTAACGGGACTAGATTAACCCGGAGGAGAAAATTTGCCCACTGGTTTGACAGTGCTTGGGAGCGTCCTCGAGAATGCATTTTGGGGTCTCCTCTGCTGTATCTTCCTCGCCCGGGGGCAAGCTGTTGTGCAGGTGGAGGTCGCACCGAGGGGAAGGGGGCGGTCGTAAAAATAACCCTGAAACAGCCCACGACTCTCCCCGCACAAAATGTAGCAAACAGAAAACCCGAGAAAAACATCCCATCCCTCGTTGTGAGGTTGGGTATAAGCAGATTTAAAACTTTTGTTTGAAAAATAATACAATGTGCTGTGTTAGCGAAAAGTAACTCATTGGCAGGCCTTCTCTCTCCAACTCTGAATAGCTGGATGTAGGTTTTTCACTTGTGATCGCCTTAACTTAGTATATAGGGCATACTGTATTTTTAAAATCATAATTAGGAAATTGAAGCCTAAAACTAAAAAACAAAACAAACAAACAAAACGCGGAATATATCCATTTTCCACAATACAGAAATTATTTTCATAGAGGACCTCTGCAATATTAAACGAAGGCCAAATTAAAGTTGTTTTTTGTATTGTATCTAGGTATTGAGGAATGGCACTAAATCAAACTGCCGAAATAAACGTTAGTGCAAATTTCATAAAAACTTTACAGCGAAACAGAAAACCTAGGCCACTGTTATGCAAATATTAAAGAGAGATTTGGCCATATCGATTGTATAATATATACCACGTAGAAGGGAATGTTGAAATGGTCCAAGATGAAGGTTCAAAAATGTTTTTAAAAGCCAGAAAGGTACCTTTAAGAGAAAAAAAATTAAACAGGTTAAATCGAAGCAGACCCTTAGTATGGGCTACAGCAGGGCTTGGAGGGATGAGGGGACTGAAATTTTTACTTACTGGCCATTGTCTTTCTAATCTTGATGCAATGGAAATATTTGAAATTCATCTCTACATTCTGTATTAGAAAGACTTGGGTTGTCACTTACGAATCTTTTACATCTATGGACTCTTTATCAAGTTGTAGAAATACTACTCTGATTGTTAAATTGCCTGACAGGCACCCCATCTACTTCCCATATTCCTGTTTTTAATATGAAATTACTGAAGCCCTTTCTCTAAAAACATACTTCGCATTATCTATATTAGAACATCTTATCAATAACTACGTTCATCAAAGCATTTATAAAAGTGTGACTGTTACATTAAATATGAGTTATTGATAATGATGACAGCTACCATATGCTGAGAATCCTGCTAGTCTCTTTAAATACATAATTGTCAATTTTCATCATATTCTTTCACAAAGTACTTATGAGGTAGGTGCCCTTATTCCCAATTTATAGATGAGGAAATTGAGTATTAAATAGCAAGTAAGTGGCAGAATCAGCTTCTGAACATACATATACCTAAGCCTTTCCTATCCCTTTTACCCTGTCCTGAATCATATATTTTCATCGTAGACTTTGTGTATAAGCATTTAATAATAATTCTTTTATGTACTTATACTCTGCTTTTCCTTTTGCCGCTTTGCCAAAATAAACTTGAGACTGCTTTTTAATGCTGTTAGCATAGGTCAGAATATCACTGTTTCTTTTCCATCATATGGAAGCACCTTGAACATAGTAGGAATTTGGTAAATATTTGTTAAATGACTGAATGGATGAACGAATACCTACTATTATGACATTCAATTAATTTTGCCTGGAAAACATGAAAAGGAAACTGCCTCAACTGAGAGAATAAGAACTAAGGCTGGTAAAATCCAAATTTTCATGATTATTTTTCAAGTCTCAGATTTGTTTCTGTCCATTTGCTCCTATAGTTCTGACTCAGCCCAAAAACTGTGACAACCTTGAAAAAGATACGTCATCCTCACCCCTGCCCAAATCCAATGCAAAATACTTCTGTGTCACAAGTGTGTTTGATTACTACCTTTTGTACCTTTCTCCATAATTTAATATTAGTCCATCAGAATAAAAAGATGGTCTTCTTTCCTAGATAAGCAAAATTTAATCTAGATTTCCATCAGCACACATGTCTGTATTGAAATGATATTACTTGCATAGATACAGTTCAGGATGATTAGTGAAGACTCCCTCTAGTTTTCCCACTTCATGCACTCCTTTCTCCCTAAAACACAGAAGCCTAACTAAACCTGGCAGAGGCTAGAGATCCGAGGTATTCCTGGTAAACTCACCAGTCGTATTTTAACCTTAGTGGAAAAAATCCATATAGTAGGTACTAAATAACAAATTGATATAGTAACTAAGTTGACAAACATCTTCAGATCCTTGTTTCTAACAAATCGCCCTTTTTCCCCTATTAAACCAAAAACACATATCAGTAAGATATAAACTGTTTCTAGTATTGCTGTGGTTGGTTACATTAAACCTCTTTTCCTAACTGCAAAATAGTAACTTCCTTGGAAAAATATCAAGAGAGACTCTAGTCTAACAAGAAGACTGTCTTGTCAAAGGACAAAGCTGTATCAGGAAGTCTGAACTCTTGTCTTGAACTCCAACTCTATCATCCACTACTTAGATTTCTTTAGAATCTTTCCATGCCTCAGCTTTTTTTCATTTTAAAACGAAGGTAAATAGAATCTGTCACACTTACTTCACAAATGAGAAAGTGCTATTCAAATCTATCAGAAAACAAAACCATGGCCTTTCCTTAATGGATTCCACATTTTTTAAAAAGATTTTATTTATTTATTTGTCAGAGAGAGAGAGAGAGAGAGCCAGCACAAGCAGGCGGAGCTGCAGGCAGAGGGAGAAACAGGCTCCCTGCTGAGCAGGGAGCCTAATGCAGGACTCAATCCCAGGGCCCTAGGATCATGACCTGAGCTGAAGGCAGACGCCCAACCGACTGAGGCGTCCAGGCATCCCCATCCCACATTAAAAAAAAAAAAAAATACATTAGTCTTTTACCAACAAAATGTATGAAATTGAAGCCGACTTTGGCCAAGTCAAGTATTTTATATGCTGTGAAAACTGGCATAAACTCAATGAACATTATAAACTACACTTGGCCAGTATTACATTCACTCAGTCCTTCATTCAAACACCAAACATTTTTTGAATGCTTGTTGTATGTGGCTCTGCTAAAAGTGAGGATACCAAAATGTCTAAGACAAATTCAACACTCCAGGATCTTACACCCAGTCCAAAGAGGAGAGAGAGAGAGTGCTCACAGAGATTTTAAGATGTTCAAAAGAAGTAGGGTCTCTTATCACACCTTTCATCATATCAAACATTTTTATTTTTTTAAAGATTTATTTATTTGAGAGAGAGAGAGAGAGTGAGGCAGAGGGGCATAGAGGGAGAGAAGCAGACTCCCCGCTGAGCCTGATCCCACCACCCTGAGATCATGACCTGAGCCTAAACCAAGAGCTGGACTTGTAACAGACTGAGCTGCCCCGGTGCCCCTCACAGCAAACATTTTTTTAGATGTCCCCATATAATATTGTGTAACTAGATGAATGAAACTGTAGCTGGTCAGCTGACAGAAAGTTCTTTGCACATTTAATTAAAACATTTACTAATTTTGATTTTACACCTTCTGTGCTGGTTATTCTGCATTTGAGCCATCCTCCACCCCATGAATTTTTACTCTTCTTTGCCTTATTCTGTGCCCCAGGGGACTTAACCTTCAGTAGTGTATCACTCTCTACAGCTGGTTTGGCCAATGGCAGGTACCATCAGGAGTAATGGAAGTCCCGTATATGGCACGGGGTTAGGGGAGGGCGCAGTTCTTTCCCAAGCACTTCCTGCCTAGGATCTCCGTCTGCCGGTAGCAGTGGCTCCATGACAGCTCTGGGCAAAGGCTTCCCTTTCCAGCGTTGTCCTCACTGGATCTTCAGGAAGTGGGAGGAACAGGTACAGCTTCCAGCTTCCAGTTTTCCCTAATCCCTGGGCAACTTCAGCATCCCTTGTTAGTTCCCTTAAACCTCCCCACACCTCTGTAAATAATTCATTCAATTCTCTTCAAAATCACATGTGACTGTACTTTCTGTTCCTGCTGGGACCATTATTGAAATGCTTCTCTTTTCATATATCAAGCCGACCAATTAAGAGGATAGGGTAGGGTCTTCAAACATTTCTGTAAGCCCTTTGAGAATTTATATTCAAGGCACTGTGTAGGGCACCTGGGTGGCTCAGTCGGTTAAGCCTCTGCCTTCGGCTCAGGTCATGATCCCAGGGTCCTGGGATCCAGTCCTGTGTTGGGCTCCCTGCTCAACGGGGAGTCTGCTTCTCCCTCTCCCTCTGCCCCTCCCCCATCTCATGCTCTCTTGCACGTGCATGCATTCTCGCTAATAAATAAAATCTTAAAAAATTTTTTTTGAAATAAAAAAAAACAAGTATGGTATTGTCCTGGGCTTTTTTTTTTTCCAACTGAA